ACCTATCTCTGCCAGTCGGATTAAAGTGAGCAGTCCGAGTCGGGACCCAGTACCATTGCAGGAGGGTTTTTTTTTTTTTTTTCATAATACATTTTTTTTGGTTTTACAAATATAGTTCCAACAAAAAAAAAATAGGACAGTGAAAAGCTACACAATATCACAGTAAAGGTGCTGCGGTAAAGTTTAACAAAGAGAAAAAAAGGAAATATTGAAGAATTCCTAACAATCCTACTAGTTCCACGAAATAATCATTTTAGAGAATCCAAGAAAAAGTTAAACATAATAATATCTTAGGTTACAATTCTGAACCAGTCGGACCGGAGCTTCCAAGCTTTGTCAAATTTGGAAATTCTGTCGTTTAGGTAAGGTAAAGATTTCTCATACAGTTTCAAGAAAAAGTATGTGAACCCCTTGGGATTATGTGGAGTTTTGCATGAATTGGGCATAAAATGTGCTCTGAACGTCTCTAAGTCACAACAATAGAAGAACACAGTCTGCTGAACATAATACTACACAAACATCAGATGTTGCCATGGTTTAATTGCACATAACATGTAAACATTCACAGTGCAGGGAGGAAAAAGTATGTGAACCTTTGGACTTAATAACTGGTTGACCCTCCTTTGGCAGCAATAACCTCAACCAAACGTTTCCTGTAGTTGCAGATCAGACCTGCACAATGATCTGGAGTCATTTTGGACCACTCCTCTTCACAAAACTGTTTCAGTGTAGCAATATTCTTGGGATGTCTGGTGTGAATCGCTCTCTTAAGGTCATGCCACAGCATTTCAATTGGGTTGAGGTCAGGACTCTGACTGGGCCACTCCAGAAGGCGTATTCTGTGCTGTTGCAGCCATTGTTTTGTTGAATTACTTGTATGCTTTGGTGTAGTATTATGTTCAGCAGACTGTGTTCTTCTATTGTTGTGACTTAGATGACGTTCAGAGCACATTTTATGCCCAATTCATGCAAAACTCCATGTAATCCCAAGGGGTTCACATACTTTTTCTTGCAACTGTAGATGAAGTAGGTCTGGACTCGCTCGATGACTTCTTTTAGAGAAGGAGCTAAGTCTTTTTTCCAGTGTCTAGTAATGGTAAGTCTTGATGCTAGAAGGAATATGTGTCACTAAAAGTCGATAATGGATTGGATATGTGTCTATATTTATATTCAGAATGGCTAGGGTAGGATCTGGTTGTTTTGAACCACTTCCCGTCCGGGCCATGTATATAAACAGGAGCAGTGCAGGGGCGGGTGGTCATTTATAAATCGGCCTCCCCTGCCCCTGATTGTGCGCAATCCGTTGCCGCGCTGTGTCCTCCGGACACAGTGGAACACCGATCGTTGTACGGGTCCTCTGTGTGAAGTCCGATCATGTGGTCACTGATTGGCCAATCAGTGATCACATGAAGAGTAGTAAGCAAGATGTCCCTTCTGACATCATTGCTTACTACTAGTGAAATATGTGAATGATCACAGAGATCACATGGTACAGGGCTATTCACAACAGGGAAACTGTGATTTTTATTTTTTTTGCTATAGAAATGAAAAAGTCCAAAATTGTTGAAAAAAAAGTGTTTTTTTCTTATAAAATTTTGCAAATAAATAATTTTTCTTCATAAATCTTGACCAAAACGTATTTAGCTATCTTTTTAGTAAAAAAAATAACCCAAATTAGTTTATAACCAAAAATTATAATTTTTCTAAATATTTTTTTACATTTTTATTTTATTTTTTAATATTAATATATATTTTTTTAACATACTGTCACCCTAGCAGTACAGTGTCACCACAAAAAATTATAATTTTGAAAAAAAATGCTTTTACATTTAAACTTTTTTTTTATATTATTATTATTATTTTTTTTTTTCATACTGTCACTCTACCAGTACAGTGTCAATGGTGACACTTTACTACTTGTGGGGGGTGATGAAGTTTTTTTTTTCTTGTACACTGATTGCTTTTACACCCATAAAGGCTGCAAAAGCAATCATTTCTCCCTCTCTATCTGCATTCTTGCAGCCATTGAGAAATACTGTGAGAGCTGTGATTGGTCACAGCTTGTCACATGGTACAAGGCTGTTGTGAATAGCCCTGTACCATGTGAACGCTGTGATCATTCACAGATTGCACATGTAGTAAGTAAGCAAGTGACATCTTGCTTATTACTATTCGTGTGCTCACCGATTGGCCAATCAGTGATCAAATGAATCAGGACCTCACACAGGGGTCCAGTACAGCGATGGGTGTTCCCCTGTGTCCTCTGGACACAGTGGGCACCGGATTGCAGTGCCGCGCACTCCCATGGAGCGTAGTAGAGCTGAAAATGCAGGCACCGTTTATGAATGGCAACCCGCCCCTGGACTGCCACCGTCCGGCCGTTTATATACATGGGCCGGACGGGAAGTGGTTAAGGATTTCCAGGCTTCATTTGAGGCTCGTACAGTTGGTGTTGCTTTACTAGTGGGAATCCTTTGCCACCAGCTCGCTAGCAGTATGGCGCCTAAATCTGTAGTAGAGGTTAGAGTTTTTTCAATGCCACCCCTTTTTGTATCATCTTCCACTATAAACCAATGTTTGAGATGGTCTAATAATGATGCTTTGTGATAGTCCCTAATATCAAATAATACATAATGTGTTGCGCTCCCGGTGAGAATCTCTATTGTGTTAGTAATTATATTTACCCATGGTAAACATATATATATAATCAGGTGATGTACAATAATATAAAAATAAAAATATATATAGTGTTGAACCAATATACATATATTATCCACTAATATGAAAAATATATAAATGTGAAAATAATATCACCAAAGAAATAATGATGTGTACTAAAAATAAATATGAATACATCAATATAACATCATGATTGGTGAATAATCAAAAATAGTGAAATAAATATACATAAAAATAAAATAAAATATATATATATATACTACAAATAAAAAAATATTTTGATTTGTGATATTAATGTCCTTTAAATTCGGTGACTTTGTGCTTGATTAAATCTTGATTTAGTGATTTATTGTGAATCCGTGACTCTCTTTGAATCCTTAATTAGTGAAGCTATCGCTATAGCTATCACAACCCCCTGATGAAGCCACGTGATCAGTGGCGTAACGCGTAGGGGTGGGGCTGCATTGTCACTCGGAGAGAGCCGGATTGTTTGACAGACGGCGGGTGCATGACTTAACGGCTGGCGGATTACTCGTGCTGTGCAATCTATCTCATACCTCATACAATTCATGTGAGTGTACCTGTTGGAAAGCAATAAAGCAGAAACCTTTTTATAAGGATAAAACACTATGTTTGGCAATTTGTCCCCACATATGGAAAAACGCATGGAGAGGAAAGTATAAGGGAATTTGAGTATCGCAAATAGTGATCAATCCCATAAGAGCTAATTAAGGATAACGGATATCCATGTTTCACAATCTGTAAAGGAGGAATTCCATCTAAGCAGGTTCCATAGGAGGTGAACCACAAGTGTGTATAGCCTAATTGCAGGCTAATAAGGAGGTGAGCATACATCTTCACTAATTAAGGATTCAAAGAGAGTCACAGATTCACAATAAGTCACTAAATCAAGATTTAATCAAGCACAAAGTCACCGAATTTAAAGGACATTAATATCACAAATCAAAATATTTTTTTATTTGTAGTATATATATATATATTTTATTTTATTTTTATGTATATTTATTTCACTATTTTTGATTATTCACCAATCATGATGTTATATTGATGTATTCATATTTATTTTTAGTACACATCATTATTTCTTTGGTGATATTATTTTCACATTTATATATTTTTCATATTAGTGGATAATATATGTATATTGGTTCAACACTATATATATTTTTATTTTTATATTATTGTACATCACCTGATTATATATATGTTTACCATGGGTAAATATAATTACTAACACAATAGAGATTCTCACCGGGAGCGCAACACATTATGTATTATTAGCTTTATGGACACAGAGGTAGTTGTGTGTTGAGTGTTCGCGATCCTATTCACATTAGGGACAGTGTGTGTCCACTTTTTGGTGATCTTGGTGAGTTGATATTGGGTGGATTTAACTTGGCTCGCAAGTCACACAGAAGTCCCTAATATCAACAAATCCCATTCGGGTCTGGTATGTGTCCAATAACAGCCAAGGGTCTGTGTTGACAATCAACACAGAGTTCTGTACAGAGAGAATGATCTTTCTCTTTCTGTAAATTAGAGATCCATTAGTAAAAGCAGCACATTTCACATACAGTACACCTTGTTAGGCACGCATTTTTTGCCTTGATCTCCCTAGTTGTTAACCCCTTCCCAGCCAGCGTCATTAGTACAGTAACAGTGTGTAATATTATCACTGATCACTGTATTAATGTCACTGTGATGCCAGCGGCAGTTAGTCAGTTATCCCTAGCATTATTTCGTGTCAGATTGTCCTCCGCACTATCACAGTCCCATTTTAAGTCGCTAATCACCACCATTAGTAGTATTTTAAAAATTAAATAAATCATTCCAGTATATATACCATAGTTTGTAAACGCTATAACTTTCACACAAAGCAATCTATATACAATTATTGGGATTTTTTTAATAAAATATACAGTATGTAGCAGAATACACTTTGGACAACATTTATGAAGAAATTAGATTTTTTATTTTTTTTAATTAATATGTTTTATAGCAGAAGAAAAAAAGTCAGGGTTTTTTTTTTCCGTTTATATTACAAAAAAAACACAAAAAGAAAGCTCTATTTGTGTGAAAAAATGATATCAATTTTGTTTGGGTACAGCATTGCATGACCGTGCAATTACAAGTTAAAGTAGCGCAGTACCTAATAATATTCACTCCCTGGTTACCTCCTCATTGGCCGACCTCATCGCAGGCTATCCCCTCTTCAGTCTATCATGAATGCTGCTGCCAGACTCATCCACCTTACTAACCGTTCTGTATTTGCCACCCCTCTCTGCCAATCCCTCCACTGACCTCCACTCAGTGTCCTCCATCCCTCTCTGCCAATCCCTCCACTGACCTCCACTCAGTGTCCTCCATCCCTCTCTGCCAATCCCTCCACTGACCTCCACTCAGTGTCCTCCATCCCTCTCTGCCAATCCCTCCCTGGTCTCCACTCAGTGTCCTTCATCCCTCTCTGCCAATCCCTCCACTGGTCTCCATTCAGTGTCCTCAATCCCTCTCTGCCAATCCCTCCACTGGCCTCCATTCAGTGTCCTCCATCCCTCTCTGCCAATCCCTCCACTGGTCTCCACTCAGTGTCCTCCATCCCTCTCTGCCAATCCCTCCACTGGTCCCCACTCAGTGTCCTCCACTCCTCTCTGCCAATCCCTCCACTGGTCTCCATTCAGTGTCCTCCACCCCTCTCTGCCAATCCCTCCACTGGTCCCCACTCAGTGTCCTCCACTCCTCTCTGCCAATCCCTCCACTGGTCTCCATTCAGTGTCCTCCACCCCTCTCTGCCAATCCCTTCACTGGTCTCCATTCAGTGTCCTCCACCCCTCTCTGCCAATCCCTTCCCTGGTCTCCACTCAGTGTCCTTCATCCCTCCCTGCCAATCCCTCCACTGGTCTCCATTCAGTGTCCTCAATCCCTCTCTGCCAATCCCTTCACTGGTCTCCATTCAGTGTCCTCCACCCCTCTCTGCCAATCCCTCCACTGGTCTCCATTCAGTGTCCTCAATCCCTCTCTGCCAATCCCTTCACTGGTCTCCATTCAGTGTCCTCCACCCCTCTCTGCCAATCCCTTCACTGGTCCCCACTCAGTGTCCTCTACCCTTCTCTGCCAATCCCTCCACTGGCTTCCCATTGCCCAACGAATAAAATTAAAAACATTAACAATAACATATAAAAGCCATTTATAACTCTGCCCCAAATTACATCACCAAACTTGTCTCCAAATATCACACAAACCGTACTCTCTGCTCCTCCCACAACCTCCTACTCTCTAGCTCCCTTGTCTCCTCCTCCCATGCTCATCTCCAGGACTTCTCCAGAGCCTCTTGCATCCTCTCTATCTCAATCTATCAGACTATCGGCTACTCACTTTTAGGCATTCTCTGAAAACCTATCTCTTCAGGGAAGCCTATCCTGTCAACAGCTAATAACCAAATCTTCTATTCCTCCTACCAGTCCATCCCCCACAGTTATTACCTTTTGTACCACCAGCCCCTCCCTCTTAGAGTGTAAGCTCCAAGCAGCAGGGCCCTCCTATCCCTCTTGTATTGAACTGTATTGTTGCTGTATTGTCTCCCTTTATTTTGTAAAGTGCTGAGCAAACTGTTGGCACCATATAAATCCTGTATAATAATAATAATATTAATAATAAGAAATAGCCTGGTCTGCCTTCTTCTTCCCTCCCCACGCATTTCCTCCTATCTGATATGAGGTGCTGCTCGGGTCCAGGAGTACCTTGAGAGTCCAGGCCGGGGGGGGGGTCGTTCTGTCATATTAGTTGTTCTCAATTTAGTATATTGTGTTTTTTTTTGATATGCGATATTTGAGCTGTATGTTTTTTTTTTCTGCACATGTTATGCCTTTCTGTTCCTCTGCCAATATTTTGTGACTTCATGTGTTGTGCGACACTGCCTGTTCTCTCCCTGAGGAGAGGGCGGTCTGACCGTTCTATGAAGCCATACCTTTGAGGACGACATTCCTAGTAGTTCCACCACGGTATACTCGTGACACTATATTTCCGCTTTAGAATTCCTACGTAGTGCTTTGTTCATATGGGTATCTCCCAAACATTGATATGGCTTGTTGCCTGTCTCACTTCCCTCACTTCCCTCCTAGCGCAGGCTACCGTTCTGTTCTTGACCCCAATTTCTCGCTAAATCCTGAGCCATACGTCCTACCAGGTGAGGGTTGATACATCTCCCTCGCCGGCTGGGTGTAGTCCCTCTCTGTGCATGCCCTATCCTCGCCCTACCTCTCCATTCCCTGCACTTTTTAAGGTCTTCCGTACGGCGGGCCTCTTTTTTTATTTTGGATTTCGGCCCACTGCGTTCCCCACACAGTAAGCTCGGAGAGCTTTTACTGACTCTTGCCGGCTGTTTTTTTACTCCCTCCTTTCTCTTTTCTGTTACCCCTTAACCCCCCCCCCCCATCTTCTCTTCCTTTCTCTTCTCCTCCTTTTTTCTTATATATCTAGGCGGATTAGCTGGTCTACTCCTCCCGCTGGTAGTTCTGTGTTTTTTTTTTTTTTTTTTTTTTTTTTTTTTTTTCGTACCTGTGTCTACTCTCCTCCTTTCCCCCCTTTCTTATTTCTCTTTTCATTTTTTTTTATTTTGTTTTTCTTTCATTTATCTCTTTAAATTTTTTTTTTTTTTTTTTTTTTTCTCTCCCCCCCCCCCCCCCCCCAATCCTATTCCCATCCTTTTAGTACCCCGTGTTCCCTTTTTTTTTTTAGGTTGCTTTCACATTCCTCTTTGGACATGTCTTCTCCCAAATCGTTGTCAGGACACTTGTCACTGAAAGTTCTATCTCTTAATGTGAAGGGTTTGAACACACCTGAAAAACGCTCCATTCTGCTCTCCTATCTATCTAAACAAAGAGCGGATATCGTTTTCCTTCAGGAAACGCATTTTAGACAGGATGTCATTCCCAAGCTCTTTAACTCACGTTATCCGACAGTCTATCATGCCCCTAACCCTCATGCCAAATCAAAAGGTGTCGCCATCTTGATTGCAAAACATCTCCCTTTAACTATAACGGAGTCGCTCCCTGACTCAGAAGGTAGGTTCCTGTTTCTAAAAGGCACTTTTGCCAACAGACCCATTACACTGGCAAATTTATATGCGCCCAATACCAAGCAGGTTCCCTTCTTCCGCTCAATCTCCACCTCTCTTTCTTCTTTTCAGTCGGGTGTACTGATCTTGGGGGGAGACCTTAATGTCCCTTTATGCCCCTTATTGGATTCTTCCTCGGGCAGTTCATTTTTACCATACAAATCCCTAAGACAGATCCGCATACAACTCCAGGATTTACAACTTCACGATTCTTGGCGAATCCTACACCCGAACGTTAAAGATTATACGTTCTTTTCTCCTCCACACAATAAGTACTCCAGAATTGACTACATTTTTCTCTCGCAAGTGGATCTGCCATTTCTTCATGACACCTCCATTGAACCAATGGTCCTATCGGATCACCATCCCATAACCATGACGTTGCGTTTTCCTGAAAAACACTCCCGCTCTAAGATTTGGAGATTGGACGCATCTCTTCTTTCCGACCCAACACACGAAGCCGAGATCCGCTCCCAATTGGTAGATTACTTCGCGACCAACCAGACTTCAGATACCTCCTCCTTGACGCAATGGGAGGCACATAAATGCGTAATTCGCGGGATTCTCATAGCCATGGCTACGAAGCGTAAAAGGGAGAGACAAGCACATTTGCGACGACTTATGGAGCGCATCCAGTTTTTGGAAAGAGTTCACAAACACAGTCAAGCGGCTTCTACCTTGACTGAACTCACAAACACTCGCACGCAGCTTTTGACCGAACTGGGTAAGGTGGCTAAACGTAGATATGTCTTGTCTCAAAAATTATTTTATGAGTTTGCGAACAAAAGCGGGCGATTCCTCGCCAGATCCCTTCAAGCGAAAAAGTCGAGCTTAACAATCCACAAAATCAGGGGTCCAGACGGTTCTTTTGCCACCACTAATGCTGACATTGCTTCTCATTTTGAGCAGTATTATAAGGCATTATATAACCTCCCTCCGGAACGTCCCCCACCTGAAACCAACAAACTCAGAGCCACGGTGATCTCGGACTTTCTTCATCTTTATAGCCCTTCTGCACTTTCTGAGACATCCGCCCTGGAACTGGAGCAAACTATCACGGCAGAGGAACTGTCGCGGGCCGTCAAACAAATGAAGTCTGGTAAAAGCCCGGGCCCTGATGGCCTGTCTGCGGTATATTACAAGGAGTTTTTACCCGTCTTGTCCATCCCCTTCCTCTCGGCTTTCAACACTTTCTCTTCACTCCCTGTGCCGTGTCATCGCCTTCTAGAAGCGCACATCACTGTCATACCCAAAGGAGATAAGGATGCAACTTTGGTTTCCAATTATAGGCCCATCTCCCTTCTGAATGTAGACGTGAAACTTTATGCTAAAATTCTGGCCAACCGTCTCCTCCCCTTACTCCCTTCTTTGATTAACCTCGATCAAGTGGGTTTCATCCCTGGCAGGGAAGCGAGAGACAATACTATCAAGGCCCTCAACCTTATCCATTGGCTTCGCACATCAAAGTCTCCTGGGTTCCTTCTCTCTTTGGACGCTGAGAAGGCCTTTGACAGAGTGTCCTGGGATTATTTGAGGGCAACCCTTCAGGCGATTGGTTTGAGAGAACACATGCTTAATTTCATCATGACCCTGTATTCTGGACCCACGGCACAGGTTCGGGTGAATGGCCATTTATCGAACCATTTCTCTCTCGGCAATGGCACGCGCCAGGGCTGCCCCCTTTCTCCTCTCCTCTTTGTGCTATCATTAGAGCCACTGCTGCGTAAACTCCGTTCCAACCCAGATATTAAGGGCGTTTCCGCACCGGCTCAAGAGTATAAACTCGCCGCCTATGCGGATGACATTTTGCTGTTTCTAACGGAACCTCGGACCACCTTGCCCAATTTGCTTAAAGATTTCTCACTTTTTCAATACATGTCGAACCTTAGAATCAACCATTCAAAGTCATACGCCCCTCAATGTCACCCTCCCTTCTGATGTAGTCTCATTTTGCCGATCGCAGTTCCCGTTTAGATGGGACAGTGAGACTCTCACTTACCTGGGCATTCAGCTTACGTGCGACCTCTCTGACCTTTATGTAAAAAACTTTATCCCAGCACTTAAATCCATTCAGGAAGATCTCACTAAATGGCATCGACCATGCTTTTCCTGGTTCGGCAAAGCTGCTATATTGAAAATGAACATTCTCCCCCCCGCCTCCTCTATTTATTTCAAACCTTACCTATCCAATTGCCACCCGCCTTTTTCGCTTCATGTAGGAGAATGTGCTCCTTCTTCCTTTGGAACCACAAGCGTCCGCGCATATCTTTCTGCCAATTGGTTCTCCCCAAATCCAGGGGTGGGATTGGGCTCCCAGACCTCAGGCAATATCATTGGGCCTGCCATCTTTGCAGAATTATAGATTGGAATATTCATTCGACTACCAAAGACTGGGTGCATCTCGAAAACTCCTTCTCTCCTTCTCCTATAGCTTCGATCCCGTGGCTCTTGACGAAACATACCCCCCAGGCCCTTCTCACTCATCCACTGATTGGCCCTACCTTGCGCATCTTCCGCTTGACATGCAAGTCGGCCTCCATCTCGGGATGCCCCCAACCCTTTAACCTCCCTTTGCTTAAACCCGGACTTCCCTCCGGGTATGCACAAGGCCTTCCTGTCGGAACATTGGCCGTATGACCAGGTGAAAGCGGAACACTTTTTTCATAAAGGCCAATTGAAATCCTACTCCTCTTTGGCGAGCACCATGAAAGATCGTACCTTCCCCTTTTGGGCCTACCTTCAAATCAGGCATTTTCTCATATCCTCTGCTCACCGCCACAAATGGACTCG